TGAAACAAATCCAGATTAAGAATAATTTGTTTTTCTGATTAAAGAGAAATAAGTAATTAGCCACCCTTCACAGTTTCACAATATATATATTTATCTGTCCATTGAATTTTTCCTGATTATACATGTCTGGATTAACAGTGTCCTCTTTAACCAGGTTCTACAGTACGTTAAGGTTACGAGGACGATATATTCAGGTTTCACTGCACTGATTGATAGTTTAGATGTTACTGAAGACACGCTAGGTAGGCTGTGCTGTGATGGAGTAAGTGGAACAGGCTAAACAAGTGTTAGATATATTTTATATGTATTCCATGGAAAAGCACCAATAAAGTTGATATTTAGTCACCCTGGCTGCCAACCAGCAGCATATCGAGTGAATTGGACATTAATTAAGATACATCAATTAAAACAAAGAGAATGATCCAAGACTAGACAATAGCCTTCTTCTTTCTTGCATCAACATCTTCTTTTATTTAGCCTCAGCCATTAAGAATAGAACGAGAGGGTGATAGACGCTGGTATATATATATTATAAAGATGTAATTTGTATAGAGCACACATATATCATAGAGTATTAAGAGTTTACCACTTAGACAGCTATGGGAGAATGACTTTTATTTCCAAACAGGGAATGATGATTAATGGGGGGACAACTCTAATTTGAAAAAATAAGGAAAGAAATGAAACAAGTAATCTTGACATAGAAATACAACAAAAAATGACACATTACCATACAAACTGATCATGAGTTGGGTAACACTTATATCTAAAGAAGGATATGCAATATGGCAGCTTGCCTTACTCAGGGGAGATAAGTCTGTTTAGCAGGAAAGTCTGCAACGGGACAAAATGTAACCCACTGAAACCAAAACTGTCTTATGACACACGATATTGAAATTTGTATACTTTAAAAAAAACCAGGCTGAAGTTAACACTAATAATAATAAGAATAATAATCATATAAATCTCACACACTTTGCATTACCCTGTTATCATACACGTGCATTACACATGAATTACATGTGTTTTACACCCTGTAACATGTACACAACCACCTCTTACGCGCGTTCCGTAAACGTGACAGAAAAAAAATCTGATCCAATCAATGCAAAGATTGCAGCATACAAACTCCTTTTAAGGAAATGATGATTTTTTTATTATTATATTGTCTTTTGTTAATTTTTTTTGTTGATGAAGCGAGTATTATAGTCACTCAGACATTGTGATGTTATGTACAAAAAGGATGGTAGGTGCAACAACATTCATACTGTTCACAAGGCGTAACATAACGGTCACAGATAATTTTCTAAAATATATTGTTTCAAACAATGCTAATATTGCCAGTAACATAACGACTAAGGATCATCGTAAAAGATTCTCACTGTAGACAAAAGGCTGAAGAAAAAAATTGAATTATCATTGTGCTTAATAGTTTCTAAAATCAGAAAGGATGACTTTAATAAGAAATGTAAGTTTGAAACCCAATTACAACATCTAAATGTTTTTGGTTTTTTTTCAAATTGTCGTCCTGAAGAGGTTCTTTAACTATGAAACAATTCAGCATTGATGATTCATTCCGAAAACTCCAGTGTCTTCCAAAACAGGAATGACATAGGCCAGAGTGATCAACATTAAACATTGGTATAGAATTTGTCCATAATACAATCACATTATAATGCCAACATTCTGCCGGAAAAATAAGGATATACTCCGCAAGTAGTTTTCAATATATTTACTTTATCGTAAATCAATTTGTCGATATTAATGAGGAGTTAAAATCTTTGTCTCTGTCTAATACAAAGGAGGACAGGATTGCAGAAAAGTTTTGAAAGATACTTCAATGTTCCTTCTCTTTTGAGTCACCCTTTCCAGGACCAAGCACTACAACACCTACTCTGAGACAGAGCTACATGTATTTGCAACCATAACCTATAAAATAGTGACAATAAGATTTTCACCAAAAAATAAATTTAAATATTAGAATTTCATATTTCAAGGCATATTCTGTCTTCTTCAGCCTTTGAACCAAACATTAGAAATATGGCTTAACTCCTCTTAACCTTTTAACCACTATGGATCATAATGGACTCATCCAGATGAATGTATGTTAAGAGTCTACATAGGGATCAAAGGGTATTTTATTTTTATTATAATACAAAGTTTAATTTGATTTGCATCAAACCTGCAGATTTGAATAATACGGATGTATTTTAATCTCTTCACAAAATAGTAAAAATGAAACAATATCTTCAATTATCTAAATTCATTCTCTCTAGTTCATTCAAACCTAGCTAGCAGTATAATTCAGGGTAAGTAAAATATATCGGATTATGGTCCCGGAGCGTTTTTATAAGTGGAAGTAATGTTTTAGTTGAAATAGTTTTTCGTCAATAAAAGCATTATATAATGGCTAAAACATTTAGTATCGGGAAACATTATTGAAGATGAAAAAAATATTTTAGCGATTTTATTTTTTAGCGATTTTTTCTTCTTATTTTACAATTTTGACAATAACTTATTTTAGAATTAGGTTTTCATCCCAAACACAAAGGAAATCAGGAATGCTTTAGAACACCTGATAAATCGGGTTCACAATAGTCAAACGGTCCACAACCTAAGTGATTGAGCTTTTGTAAAGGAGATGCATGTTTTACAAAGATTGTCTTGTGATGGTTCGCGATGATTCATTGTCAAAAACAACTGAAAGTGATTACTGCAGTTCTCTCCGATCCTGTCCTGGCTAGCTCAACTAACATACACTCGTTTTCCTAAATGTTCAAGGACCGCCAGTTTGGTATACTGACAGCCAATAGAAATAACAACCAATATGTGGTTTGCACAACCTCATGAAACAGGTTCATGGTTCTAGTTACGTAAATTTCTGGAATATACCGTTCAGTACTCCGTTACGAATGTACAGTCGTTCTTTGGAATACATATACAAGCACTTAATCATCTTTGGTGAATCTAAATAAAGGACGTCAATGTTGAAACATTAATGTTGATATACAACGTTGACGTCAACATTAATCGCGGACATCACTGTGTAAATTAAACATCGGTATTGAACATTGCAACACATGGACGCTAAACATAACGGCTATCAATGTCACTCGACAGATCAGTTATGGAAAATGATTGTGAAATCTTTCGCACACCTTGTGAAAATGACAAACAACCATTAAGTACAATCTGTGACCGAACTCTCGCCAGAACCTTTCATAGATACTTCAGTATTGGTGTAGAACAGGTACATCCACTCACACACATCCAGCTACCCAACAGTGTAGAAAAAAAGACTACAGAAACACATATCGTAAGTAAAGAAGAGTATAACTTTCGCTATTGCATGCTCATTCAAAGCAATTCAAGATGGTATATTTTTTTTTAAAAACATCAACAATTAATATTATATATTAATCACATCAATGGGTCAAACAGATATTCGATGCATGATGTTTAAAGATTTCCTGACTGTTGTGTCTCAATGGCGAGGACTTTGCGAAGAGGACAGGTTAATTTTTTAATCAATCCAAGACTTAGGGCAGATATTTTAAAATCTGTTTCTCAATTTGAAGTCAACTTTGCCTAATTTTGGGGTAAAATGAACTATTTAAAAAAATGGACATTTCTATTTGTTAATATAAAATATTGTGGTGACGCTAATGAAATAGAAATAATATGTTAATTATTATATTTCAGATAGTTTTACTAAGTTAAAACATTAAAATATTTGCAGTAAAAATCATATATTAAGTGGTATGTTCAAATTCTGTGTTAGCTTGTTGCTAATGCATGGTCTTCAAAATGTGATATGTTAAGAAAATTTTAAATTTAAAAATTAAAACTGAACATTTTTAAGTATAGTTTGTTTATAAACAAACTCAATAAAATCATGGAGGATAAATGTTTGAATCAGTACAAAATCGCGACCTTCAATTAAGTGCAAATTTGTTGTCTTTCTACCATGAAAAGCCATTTAATTACTTGGCCATCATTTACGTTAAATGTGCACTTGAAAAAAGACCCATCTGAGATTAAAATGAGAATAAGAGGAATTAATTGGTTGTTAAAAATGCAGTCTGATCATTTTCAGGTCGCCATTGAGCACATTTAGCCGGAGTGCTTTATTTTAACAATAGTACAGTTTTATATATATAATATATAGATACATCTGTATATATACAAGTAAAGGTACGTTAGTTACACATAGGTTTAACACACAGGTCTAAATACTGTATGCTCCTCTAACAGGTGTGTGAGCAAGTCTTTAGTCATCTCTATATTTTACATATAATAAAGACATATATAATATATAATTATAATATTATTACAGTATATTATCATTTTACTAATTACCGATAATCACTTAAAATTTGCGAGGTATCAATTTCCGTAATAATTCGCTAGAAAACCAATTGCAGATTTCAATATGTCGCAGATATTTGTCCACGTGCTACGAAACAAGGAACGTATAGCAGTCTTTGTAACTATTGGAAAACATGTTATTCGTGAAAATAATAATTCACAAATATTAAGTGATTCACAGTCTGACATTGTACAATCACACATTCTCACTGAAGGACAGGATAAATTACACTGTAAGTCACCAATAAGATTCAACCACCAACCAAGAAGGAGAAAAATATATAAATGAAGATGTAATTAATTGGTCTAAAATATCATCAAATTGTTTTATAAAAAATGTTCAAGAAAATCTTTTTTTTTTTAACATGATGTCAAGAATTTTCATTTAGACCAATATTTAATTTGTTCATGAAAATGACAAAAAATCATCAAGAAAACTTCATAGCGAAATTTTTAATGTTGATTCTGATTGAGAAATGTTTAAGAATTTCCAGAGGAAAAATTACATAGGGGAAAAAATGCATAAAAATTATTCAAATTGTGCAATACTTTTCACTGAGGAAAGGAATTGTGATCTTTACATAAGTGACCAATGTAAAACTAATTCAAACTCTTCCTAAAAATAAAATTCATTTTTTTTGTCTAAAGGAATTTGCCATCTCTATCGTATCTCATTAAGTTTGATTTGGTAACGAAACCTCTAATTTTCTGAAGTCTTTGAAGGAATTGGACTGTGCAACTAATCCAACATATTGTATACACATAACAACAGATCTGATATAGTTTTGATATTTTTAACTGTTGTCTGGTTGGTGATTGACCTAAGGGACATGTCTAAACTAATGGCGAGTCACACCTTGTTGTCTGGGACCTCTTTAAAAAATATTTAAAATTTCCGTAATTTTCATCTCGATAAATGATACAAAACTGCCATCTTACTTCTTTGCAATTTTACCCCAGGGTATTTCTGCCAAAGTAGGATGGGTCATTTTCCCCTTGAATTTTTATCTTGCATATTACAGGTTCAAAAAAATCTTCTCAAAATCTGAAGCTAAATAATGGTTGATTATAAATAATAATGTTTCAGACAGTCTAAGTTTTAACAGAATTTATCAAAGAAAGAACTTTTTCCTCCAAGGGAGTATCAGATAGCCTTTCTGTAGTGCAATTTTTGTTTTATATTTAAATTTGCCAAATTAGGAATCAAAACAAGCCCATTATAACAGATTGTCTCAATCGCATGTCAAAACATTGTATCAACCTCATCAATACTCTTTAACATAACAAACCTGTTTAAATTCTGGCAGCCAGGCAACAAGGGGATGTAACTCTAAAATATTCTACAACATGATATGTTTTCTCTCGACTATTTTTAGCACCTTTGGTACAAAGATATTTATGCAAGATTTCTCAAACCAAAAACTTGCTATTCGTCTGCCTATATATATATATATATATATATCATGTTAATCACATTCTAAATACGGAAATCTCAATATACAGATGAATTTAATTCATAGTAACATCAAAGTGTTTTATACATATATATACATCGACAAGTGGTTAGTCTTATAACCAATTTAGTCATGAGTAAAGAGCCATGAACAGAAATGAAAAATACCAACCATCCAGTATCCGTGTTTTAGTATTCTGTATCTAGGATCAGCCGAGTTGCTTGTTATTAAGCCCACCCCCTTTTATATGTATTTCAGACAAGGGTCAAGTAAAAAATTACCTAAGATCTTTAATGCATATAAAGGATTTTTTTTATTAATAATCCCAAGAATATCAATTTAGCCAAAATCTTCATAAGCTAATAAGCTTGGTACTCCAGCCATATAATTGTTGAAATGTGTTAACGCTGTATAGAACATACAAATGTATATTTTTCTATCACTTTTTTCCCCCAGAAGTTCCATATTTTTACAAAATCATTTGGACCATGATTCATTTCACAGGTACACTTATCTTACATGTGTTATGCAAAATGAAGAACTTATGTTGAAAGGAGTGCCACAAATGAAATTTGTATTTAGATTTTAAATTATTTATTAGTTTGGGTAACCAACAAAGCGGAAGACACTGGATGGTTTGAAAAGTGATAAGGATGATTTTTATAACATTACTATTTATGCAAAAATTTAACATGATCATAAATGGACAATGACATTGTATATTATGATGATAAAAAATTCATAACAAAACATCTTTAAGAATGAAAATGACAATTATGATGATACATAATTTTGAACAATAACATCAAATTCTTCTGAGCAAGGGAATTAAAAAAACTGGACAGTGATTCAGGAGTGTTTTTCTAAGGATAATACATAGTAAACCATTACCATTGGTTGGTAGTTTGTGCTGGTTTATATATAAAAAAACCTGTGCATTTGCATGGCTTAAGTTAAATCATTCACCCCTTAAATTTTCTAATGAACTATGCCAACTTTTGAATTGGAAGAGTTCAAATGTGTCTTAAGGGGTGAATGGATTAATATAGTAAAATCTACTCTAGTAACCTCGCCCCAATTTCAAATCTAACAATACACATTCATTAAAAAAATCAATTGTACACAATGATAATACAAATTGCTCTTTTTCAATTTTCAAATGATTTTTTTTAATAACTAATGTATCTTTTGAAAAGATATTCTAGATGACGAGAACATGATCTGAAAATTATTCAACATTGATCTCATCAACAAATTTGACCAATTCAACATCTCTGAAAAGTTTGTGCAAAAATTGAACTCTTTGAGCTGTTTATATAAAATAAAAACAAATGTGTTATACACAATGAATGCTACCATTTTTGCTTCCTTTTTCTGATCAACACAAAAATAGTTCATACCACAAAATACTAATTTTGTCTTGGTTGATTGATATTTGTAATTTTTATGGTTGTAAAATAAATAATTGATTTAAATTTGTTAAACTTATTATCTTTTATTGTTATAAGTCAGAAACTATGACACTGTGGTATGTGCCGAGTCACAAATTAGAAATACTTGTTGTACATGTATACAAATGTACTGTACATCAGCAAGACTTTTCATTTCTTTATAATTTCAATTCAAACATTTTGATAAACATGGATTTTTTTTCAGATTAAGGAATATGTTAAGAGAACATCCTTTTTGGTACCGTACATGAATTAACTTAAAAGAATTAATGAAGGTTTGAGCATTGGTTTAAGCATTGCATATATTTTCTGTACTTGTGGAGTTATTTCCCTTTAATCAGCAATCCAGTAGCCTTTCAAGGAATGTTGGTCAACGAAAATAAACCTTGGAGTGATGCCATTCATAAACAGTCACTATAAGGCATTTAAAAATGATTGTTTTTTTTCCAACTGTTTTACACTTTGATTTCATTTTAACAATAGTATCAGGTATCTGAGAGAGAAAAAAATGTTTCAAACATATCAAAGAAAACATACTTTAAAACTATTCCAAAGTTTTCTTTATGAAAGGGTGATAGCATAATGCATGATCTGATCAAAATTTATATCAATTTATACAAAAACAATTCATTATTGAGCATATTTCATAACAAATACATTAATATACACTACATAGTACGGTACACACCAGAATTGTACATTATATGTGACATCCAGTTACAATGTTGTGTACACTTAAGTATAGAATATACTCTTTGCCCTAAAGTTCTAAGGAAAAAAACACCACACAACCCAATAACATCTCCTTTGAGGACAAAGGAAAGGGAAAAAAAATCTGTAAATATGTTCTGCACACTACGAGAATTAATGAAGACTAGGGTCCATGTATTGAGAGTCAGCCATTGTAAAGATCCATGTTCCTCTTCCACAGAACTTGTCGTCGGCCATATCAGTGGACGTCAGACTGGACTTATGATTAAAATAACATGATGAAAAGAAAAAATAATACAAAATGACCCATTACATGGTTCAAAATCATAGAAGTTATTAAAGTATTATTTTTTTTTTTACACTTTTCTTGTTTGTGTGTTGAACTTCACATCACATCTACAATTAACAAATCAATGATAATATCATTCCATTGAACTTTGACCTATAACTGACGACCTCTATAATTATGTAACAAATCAATGATAATATCATTCAATTGAACTTTGACCTATAAATGAACTCTTAATTAAGTAACAAATCAATGATAATATCATTCCACTGAACTTTGACCCTAATAAACCCTAAAAAGTAACAACAAATGATAATATCATTCAATTGACATTTGACCTATGCTATAGACCATTGTTCTCAAGTGAGTCTGGCTCCGCCCCCAGAACACGTGGGGCTGAATGAAGGCATCTGCTGAGATGCGTAGTTCTTTATATGCTGTAGACTGAGCAAACTGTTGGCCAGCATGCTGTCGTGGCGGGTCATCGTTGCATTGAGATTTCGCTCCTGAGCGTCCGCTTTGCGGAAACCACCCAGAGGATCATAAGGAAAGTAGCTACGGGAGGCCATAGAGGAAATATGTGGTAGGGAGGGGCTCAAAGAATTGCTTGGCAACCCAGAACCATAATGGTAGTTAGAGTTAGCTGTACTCATGGGCACATTACCACCAAACTGTGGAATAGGCATGAATGCTGACGATCCCTTCCCACATGGGGTCACACCTCCATCTTGAGATCGATCCGGAAGCCTGTTCATGCTGAAATCCTGCCCATTGGAATGATCATTTGGTTCTTGCTTGATTGGTCGCGGTGGAACTAGCTTGTTCATATTCATATTGTCCTGCGAGTGTTTTCCCATGTGTCGTGTCAGGTATGTCTCCTGCGTGTACGACTTACCACATATCCTACAAATGTGCGTCTTCAAATGTTTGGTCTCCGAATGCTTGGGTATGTGATCGCGCAGGCCTTGCTCGTCGGAGTAACACTTGTAGCATGAGTTACAACGGAAAGGCTTGTCAGTCATATGTGAGCGGGAGTGCGACTGGAGATTGGAGAGTTGCGAGAAGGCCTTGCCACACCCGGGGTGCATACACTTGTATGGTTTTTCCCCGGTGTGTGTACGTATGTGCTGCTGAAGATGGGACAACTGTGTGAACTTGCGTTCACAGATCTCGCATTTGTACGGACGAATTCCCGCATGGATTCTGTTATGCTGCGACAGATAGGAGGAATTGGCAAAGCATTTCTGGCAAACAGGGCAGTGATAGGGCTTGGGGTCCTGCTTGTGGATTTGCTGGGAGTGAATCAACATGTCCGACTTGGTCGTAAACACCTGCAACATAAAAAAAAAATAATAGAAACTTACATTTACAAAGGAAACATAGCTAACCTAAAACAGAAAAATAAGCTTGAAAATGCCTTCAAAGAAATGAAAGCAAGATATAAATACCTTCAGCATACAAACGATCGGTTTAGGTTTATTGGTGTCAGCATGCCATTAACAGCTAAGGTTATTTAAGGACATGACAAACGAACGAAAAGCGACATGTAAACACCTCCAACACAAAAAGGAAACAACATGCTTACATCTCCAACATATCATGGAAAGCAACACATTTATACCAACCACATACAAAAGAAACAAATTTTAAACCTCCTAAATACAAAGGAAAGCAACATGTGAACACCTGCACCTACGTACAAAGGAAAGCAACATGTTTAAACCTCCTAAATACAAAGAAAAGCAACATGTTTAAACCTCCTAAATACAAAGGAAAGCAACATGTTTCAACAACAAAAAAAAAAAGCTATGATAAATAATTGATATAAGAACACAATACTTTATTAAATCCATACAAACATTCTAATTTTAGAAGGAAATAAAAAAATCATTAATATAGTAACGGAAACATGTTAACTTTTTATCCATGTAAACATGATATTAATTGATTTTATCGATGTAAACATGATATCAAGTCATTCAAATATCTAAATTAAAAAACCCACGGTATTATAATCTAGCACACCTTTCCAATTTATACACATTACACTAGACTGAAGTGTTTCTATCAAAAATGCTCAGCTATGGAAATTGAGCTAATTGTGGAACTTTATCAGAGTGGAACTCTCAGCAGGATTATGTAATCAAGAGCTGAGATACTCCCGACTCCTTATCTCCTGCTTGGTTTTTGCCACCCAGGTTTAGCCTTGGGCGGTTATCTCCTCGAGTGAGGAGAGGATAAATATGCACCTCTCTTGAATCAACACTGATGAACTACATACATGTGCTTGTATGCGCTCTGACTAGATCAAAAATAAAAAATAAATATCTTTAAAAAAAACCTCAAAAAAACCCAGTATTATCACAATCTGAGTCATAGATTGCATTCGACTTATTACAGGTCCGAGTTCTTTTGGCTGTATTTCTGCAGCTTAGAAAAAACACTTTTTTTCGAGCAGGAACTCTTATACTTAATGGAATATAGAGTTTGGTTGGTAGCCATCTGATTGTATAACATTGTGGACCATACCTCAGCGTGTTGTCAAAAACTGTCTAGGCTCTGTAGCAAAAAACATATGTCTGTGATTAGTGGTGATAAAAAGCTCGGCACAGGGATCTACCCATAAACATGGGGCTTTACACAGAGGGGGTATTTCTATTCCCCTTGCCAACGGTTACATAATTCTGTCGCCTGTCAATCAAAATTTCGAGGTTCAGGCAAGGTCAAGTAGTTTCACAGTCGCCCGTCTCCAGAACTCCCATTACCAGTATCAATGACTGCAATAACTGATGCTGTAGTTCATTATTTTCTTCCACTGTTGAATGCAAAAACAAATGTTCTCCCCTGAAAAATATATTCTGGATAATACATGAAAAATACAGTTCTTCTGGCATTTTGACTCTTGCTGATTACACAGTGATAAATAATGGTTATTTGTTCTGGGTAAGTGAAAATATGTAACTGATGTTGATTCGAGCGAAATTCCAGTCCTAAACGATGTTTTCATTATGCCAACAACGCAACAGTTCAGGACAACAGCCTTTTTTCAAAGTCCATGAAACATAAGTCCTGTTTTAAAAATTTGTTTTGTTCAATTTGAATTTGAAGTGCTCTTGATAATTATTGGTAAACATTTATTAATTATTCTTTATGTAATTTATTGAAGTTATAGCTCATTCCCCCCTAACGACACGTTTTAACTCTACCAATTCAAAGGTTGGAATAGTTCATTATAAACTTTCAGGGTGAATGAGTTAATTATGACACTAATGAGTTCACTGTCATGATGAATTATTATCATTATTTTCATTCTAAAGAATATAATTTCGATTTCTCCCTGTAAAATTTTGTTTTTTTAAATTCTTAGTAGGAATTTATATGTAAACATTTAAATTTCTTTTTTTAATCAAGTAAATGATATTCAAAAATGCCAAAGAGAGTATTATTATAATGTAACAGAAACAAGATATGAATACAAAACCTTCAAAATGAAAACTGTTCTGAAATAAAATCAATGCAAAACAAAAGTCTTTTAAAGAACAACTGTTTGAAATAAAAAAGTAGCATTATTGTGAAAAGTTAAAGAGTCTCACAATTATTTTATACCTGCGTAATTGTAATGATTTCTTTAATGTGTTGAATAGACAAAGAAATGTTTTTTGATAAATCCATTTCCACCTGTCTTTCCTATATCATAACACTGAGGTATTATTTATTGACAAAAATTATCGTTACCCAAAGGCCTCTTTTACTAGAGCTTCCGCGCAAGGTCTAATAAAGATAAAATATGAAAATAAAATTTCTCAGAAAGAAATTTGAAACGTTTTGTAATGCATTTTAAAGATAGAATAGTGTTTGATATGGCATGCTCTGAGATTTTGAAATATGAGCAGAAGGCAGTAAGTGTCAGAATATAAGTATCAAGTTTATGGTGACTGAACCCACAATTTCAGTGATTCACTGCATTAAATCATAAAACAAGGCTATGAAAAATCTGAAAAGCTGTTCCCTTAAATTTAATTGTCAATAAAACTTGCCTTGTTCTAAAGGTGTAGATATCAGCCTGGTTGTAAGCAGCAATTCAGTTTTGTTTAAAGTTGAATCAGTTTGAATTAAACTTTGAGCACTTAAGGATGTATGTGACTTTAAAAATTCTTACTTCAATAATCTTTCTAAAGAGTGTTCCAATCTCAGAAACCTGTAATTTACGATATGTGAATAATAATTTTGACTTTTTTTTGACTATTGTAAACTGTACAAACAGTTACATCTATTTTATAACACTGTGACATAACTGAATTATAAGACAATACTATTTAAAAAACAAATCAAGGGAGATGACTCGAATGCATATTGCACACGGTCATTTTTGAACTTCAGAAATCATGATTTTCTTATTTGAATTCAATTAATTTGTTGAACCCATCTTAGTATACCCAATCAATATTAGTATAAACCTATCTATAAATAAATAATGATAAAAAAATCCTGTTCCAAGACATAACACATATTTGATTTATAAATGCAGAAAGTGGGATAATAATAAACAATAATATTAATTTGAGGTTCTTATATAACGCTTTATTACAACCTAGTTCATAGGTCGTCTCAAAGCCGTTCACACATTTTTATCCGTGGTTATAGGACCTTTGCAACCAGCCAATATCTTTTTCAACTCCCTGGGGAGCATACAACTGGTGCTCCCATTTTGGTGCTCACAGCTGGCAATAATTTCTACAATTCAAGCATTGCCGAACCACATACTCATTTACAGCTGAGCAGACTGGAGGAAGACGAGTAAAGTCTCTTGCTCAAAGATACAACACATTGCCATACCCTGACTCAAACACGCAATTCTTTGGTCACGAGACTACTGTGCCTCCTTGGGATCCTATATTGACGGTTTGGTTTACAGAGGTTTCTGGATTTCAGAGGGTTTCTTTATACCGTTTGCAATAATATCTTTTTCAAATTAATTTAATCCATCAAATCACATTTAATTTAGTTTCCAAACAGGGTTCAATATCATCCATGGGGTTTATATATATTCCACTCAGAATTAAGTTAATACACTGGAATTAGATTTATACCTAAACCTTAACGTATGATCATTAACCCTTTCACCACTATAGACCATAATGAACTTTTCCAGATCAATGCATGGTAGAGTTTATTAAAATTACATAGGGGTGAAAGGGTTAAGAAGACCAGGCCTCTTGAAACCTTACAGCAGTACAATGTATCTACATATTCCCCTCTCCTCCCCTGCCAAATCTCCCCGTCTCTCCTATGAAACAATGTCGAGGCCCCAAGTTCATCAACCCGTAGTAAATAGATGTTTCTGCCAACAAAATAGACCATACAATTTACCAGACTTGAAGGAATCAATTTTCTACCCTATCAGACATTACAAAATGATATAAAATGTTAATGACCTCTCGGTGTAAATAGCTGTACAGTGCATTGACCTCATTGACAAGTCATCTCCTTGACATTTTTCTCCGTTGTTCGACTGTGTCCGACGTACCCGACCAAGGAGCTCTTACTTACAAAGAGACTAGTTATGTGACATATTGATTAAAAGCTCATTCTTCTTCTGATCTCAATATCCATTACCTTGAAAAATTAAAAGCAATTTTCTCTTTATTTTAATACTACATGCCTTCAGGAAGAGCTTCCTTTCCTTCAAACCAGAGGTTATTTTCCAAAGATGCATGCATGTCAAGCCCATGCAAGTAAATCAATATTGGGGATGGTGCTTACTTCTCTGGGTATATAACAACTATATATGCCTATTTCGAGCAGACAGACCACAATCTCTAATAATCTCATATGGCAGAATAAAAAAACCACTAGAAAATGCACTAAATTTGTATCTATATTTTGAATTGCTGTCTTTGGACAAACAGGTATGTTTGAACTTCCATTAATTCTTTAGTTTATTGAAAATCCAATTAATTTAGTTAAGATTATATCATGAAGATAATAAGTTACTCCAACAAAGCTTAGTAACAAACAGACCGACTTCTTTGATCTTGTAAAGCTTTAGTAACTGGCACATGATGGATTTGACTGTCAGCCTTCATGAAGGAAATATTGACCAATCAGACACTGATTAATCAGACATCAGTGATTATTGACCAATCAGAATCAGAGATTAATTAACCAATGAGAAAGTAGTAGCTACTGACCATTCAAAAATTTGCTGTTTGCCAAAAAAAAAAATGAAAATCCTTCAAATCTGATGTTTTTCCATTTAACACCGAGATTTTACCTTTTACTAAATGGATACAAAATCACTATATATGTACTGAAATCAGTTTTAATTTTT